TATATATATATACCGATAACTGACTATAACAACGACACTAACCTTCGAACCAGACATTCGAAGTAGCACTAAGAAGGAAAGGTAAAGCTAGATATAGTCCTTTGCAATGCAAAGGTAAGCTCGAGTTCGAGTGGTAACATTCTGACAATCCGAATGTAAATTTGAACGGTTAGTTTCATCAAGTTTCGAGCATTCTATAGGCCATCGGTGCATTGACATCCTAACAGTAACAAATTTGCGTCGTCCCACATTGCAACCCAACCCTTGGGACGTATTGTTCTGTATTTTTCTATCAGTCATAAGGTTCTCAGCCCTTTTCGACAAATGAAATCACTCCTCGGGTAAGAAAATTTTACACTCACTAAAAAGGTATGGGATTTTTCGCTTCAGAGACAGAAAGCCCTAAAGAGATCTGGCATGATGTGAACGACCCTGGGAAAGGGTCTCTGATAGGAGTCTCTCTTATGGAAGATACTGTAACTTGTTCTTGCATTTAAAATCGGCGGAGACATTGACTGTCCACCGAGCTAAAATGGTGAGAATTGATAGTTTACCATAGTAAGTTAAACCATTCTGTGAGTTTTACTTACTCGATCATCTTCTTGAATTGTTGCTGCAAGGGGGAGCCCATCAGCGACCCGAGCTATCAAGGTAAAGTAGATCATCGACGATAACGCAGATGACGTCTGTCTGACGGGGATTGTGAAAAGCACGACTGACGATTAATGATCAACTTCTGGTGGGTAGCAGGAAGTCACACTGGAACGAGGACAACATTGAAAGCGTATATACGTCTCAGGACATTCTACAAATTGGAAGATACCATTTTCTTACCAAAGAAAAACTTTTCAGCACAAACCTGGTAGTGTCAGAGTGAAAACGCATGAAAGAGTAAAAACTAACCAGAAAGTCATAAGTAAATGGCAAAACAGAACAATGAAGCATACTAAGAAAAACCGGTTGTTCGATACCCACTAACTAATGATTTAGAAACGTTAGTAAGATAGAAGGGGTGTGGGAAAGTCGCACTCGTGCCTGAAAATGAATTTACATTTGGAAACTGGCTGGTTTGGCAGAACAGTACAGGGGATGAGCATGGTACAGACAAGGTCTGGAGAAAACATATCGTGTCAGTAGTAATGAAAATATACAGACAGGCAAGAGTCTGTAGGTTGTCAGTCTGTAAAGGTTAGTTGATTCGGCGGACAACCTTCTTCTGTATACGTATCAAATGGGTCAAGAGGCGTCTGTGGAGCAACAATGCGGACGTGCGAACATTGGACAAATTTTGGTCCAATAAAGTAGCTAGGGTTCAACAAAGATAAAGGAATTTCGGGAAAGTAAAGAGGATACTAACTAATTTGAACGCACTAGGGGGTTTAATAGTCAGTGCACAGTTTCCACTGCCCCAAGTACTAAAATGTCAGCGAGATTGGATAAAAATTGGTTTCTAATAGTAGTTCGTAGACTACACAGAAGTGGCAAAACGCGTGATCAGATAGTTACGGAAAACTTGACAGTCACGCAATGAAGCCGATAGCTTTGATGCACGTGCGTCACTGAGTGTGTGACTGAGCCATGTCTGCCAGTGTTATCAACCAGTGGTAAGTCACGCGATCTCCATCCATGGAGGCTGCAGTTTTCGACACGAGTGAGCCTACTGGTTGGTGTCTTCATATTACGTTGCCTTGTCATAAACTGTCCACCTCTCAGACGCTACTACCCGTCACAACGCTGGGCGAAAAGAGCTCTGCGGAGCAGACAATCCTTTGGTGTGTGAAATACGCACCCTAACCAGCGTAACCTACGGAGGGTGAGTACCTCACACAACGTGGAAGTTCGTTTCTCAAAAAGCCATCTGGTATACCTCAGCATTGCTAATCCGATGTTCCCGCCAGACCAAGCCAATGGCTCAGACACCGATGGCCACTGAGCGAGACAGCTCAGTGGTTAGAACGCGAATTTACTGACCAAAAGATTCGTGATTCGAACCCAACGTCTGCATTACGACTTCCCCTGTCTAGACTTGGGTAATCTGGAGTATCCAGCCCTCATGTTTCCTTCAGGTGGCATGACGGTTAGGCACCGAAAGAGTGCTACAGCTGCACAGTACGTTTTATGTGTATAGAGGCCACGTTTCTTATCTTTAAGACAGTACGAACCGCACTGCCCCAATGTATAGCTTGCAGCTGACAAACCGACGTCACATCGGCACGATAGCTGTCCTAGCTTTCCAGCTTCGAGAAGTAACCTCGTCCCCAGCCAATCCACCAGAACTCATACAAACACCAAGATAAATGTGCAATTTCCACCATCGAACATTAACAAAGTGTCTAAAGGTTGACAAGGTGAAAAGCAACCCTTCAGAGAAAGGAAAAACGAGGAGGGTTATTTAAAAGTGGCGCTGTTTGGCGAACTATCATCATCATCATCATCAAAGACAGCAAAATCAGTGTTGGCACTGATGCTTCACTGCCGTACAACCATAAAGTTTGTCTAGTTATATACATTTAGTTGTATTAAAAGCCCTACAGAGAAGAGGAAAAGAGTGGGTGAGGGAGGGGACCTAGTGATGGCCTATGCCAAGCATCCTGAGGTGCGTATACCTCCAACGGCCCAATCAGAAAATCTGGAAAGAAACTGACATCACGAACGCCACTGACATCGATTAGCCGCCATTTCTTGCAACGTCTCCAGTCAAGCACAGACGGGATCACGGGGACCCCATCCTGGAAGTCTCGCCACACCAACAACGCCCAAACTCTTCGTGATCTCTTTCACGCCTTTTTGCCAAGTCATGTGCTGTCCACCTCGCGGTTTGCGCCATCCTGAAGGAGGCACGGAGAACAACACTCGTCTCGGTAGACGGTGTTTTGGCATGCGAAGCACATGACCGAACCATCGTAGTCGATGATGCTGGATGTTTTCCCGGGTTGGGGTGCCTGCAGCACAACCAAATACCCGTTTTCTAATCGTCTCGTTACTGACACGCTGACGCCATCCACAACCAGCCACGCTTCTGAGGTATCGGTGGTCGGAAACTTGAAGACGCCTCACATCATCTACCCGCAGAGGCCATGTCTTGCACCCATACAACAACACAGCCCTTACTGTAGCCTGGTACACACGACCCTTAAGATCCAGTGAGATGCCTTTTTGACGCCACAAGTGACGCAAATTAGCAAACGTGATTCGAGCCTTTGAGATTCTTGCACTGACTT